GCGGGCCGGAGTAGCAGCCCGGCTCGGGTCGCTGGCGGCGGCACTGCATTAATCAGGCCACAGCCTCTGCGGTGCTCCGGGAGGGGAGTAAGAGGCCGGGGCTGGGAAGGAGCTCGAGCTTGTTCGGGCCACAGAGCCTCGCTCCCTCAGTCCTTCCGGCCCCGGACTCAGAGCCAACGGCTCAAGGAGTAGGGCAGGGCCAGCAACTGGCGCGGGTCCGGGGGTCCCGAAGAGAACGGGGGCTGGGAAGGGCGACGCCCCAGGCCTGGCCTCCTCGGAAAGGAGGGGAGCCGTGCACGGGGGCAGCTCTCAGCCCGGGGGCTCACTCCCCACGCCTGTGCTGCGCCGCGGCCGGCCTCTGGTCTCTGCGTGAGCCTGGGAAGTGGGCCCGCCAGGCTCCCGTCAGATGGGCTGCCGAGGAGGGCAGCTGAGCGCGCGCCTCTTTGCATGAATTTCTCAGCGTTACAGTTTCATCTCTCCATTCCCCCACAGTGCTGCTTTTTGTTTCTTAAGACGTGATGCAATGACCAGCATCAGAGATGCAGGCATAGGGGCCGGAAGGAGGGCAGGGAGCAGACAGGAAGCGGAAGGCTGGGCCCGCCTGCCCTGCTGCCCAGGCCGAGGGGAAGCCGGAAGCTTCTGCCTTGGGGCCGTTTTACAAGCTGTGAAGGGAAACCTCAGGGCCCGAGAGGCACCTCGTTTTCCTTCCCCTTCTTCCTTTCACCCTTCCTTCCCTTCACTCCCTTCTTTCTTTGGGGACAGACGCAAGCATCTGTAGAGATACATATACACGCGTACGTGCGTGCTTATAACTACAAGGCCGACTGGTGTTTTGTACTAAGTTTTAAAGAATTAAGGCACTATGAGAGGAGAAGTTAATTTTAATGGAAAAATGTAGTAATTTTTCTCGAAATAAGTAGGATGTGGGGTGGAGTTTTGAGAACGCGGTAAGACTTCTGCATGAGAGAAGAAGGCAGGCCAGGCAGCAAGTAGAGCCTGAACAGCGACAAAACAGTGAGCGATTTCACAGCGTTTGGGAGAGCTGCTGCGGACACAATACAGCAGGTCAGTAAAAGGTCGGGGGAAAGGGATGTATTGGGCATCAGCACACAAATGTGTGGACAGAAATCGAGACGCAGGTGCCTAGATGAAGGGTGGGAACGTTGGTCTTTGCAGAGGGACCAGCAAAGGGTCCCATGGCGCAAAAGATCTGAAGTGTATGGGCCGCTCTGAAGGACGGGAAGATGGCAGATGGTGGGGCTGAGGTGGGGCTGCAAGGGGAGTCTGTTAGGAGGCCCCAGTACTATGGATGCAAGATCATGGGCCGGGAGCAGGAAGAGTGCTTGTGCTTCACACTTGCTTCCCTCCCCTGCTCCTCCCTGTTTCCTCCCCAGTTCACCATCATTGTCCTTGACTTCCTGTCTCTCATCACTGAGAAGTGAAGAGTATTGCAGAATTCCCCTCTCCCCCAAGTTCCTTCTCACCCACACAGGAATGTGCCCTGCTGATCCACATCTTCACAGAACCCTCCGTCGATGCCTTGTCCTGTTGTACCTGCAGCATCCTCTAGAGCAGAGCAGCTCCAAAGTCTACACAAACTGCTTTGTTTCTTCAACCGACAAATAGGCCCACAGCATTGCTTTACCAAAATTACTCTTCAACTCTGCCATCTTAAGGCCAGTGAATGTTTTTTTGGACCTTATCCAAAAGATTTTGGTGCACGGTTTTTTTGGTCATATTTGGCCGAACCTCCATCACAAAACACCTTTTATTCTTAGTTTCATGACATCATACTCTCTTGGAGTTTTCTATATCACTGGCCTCTACTTCTCTTAAAAATTTTCCGGCTCTGTATTTTAGACAGGATCTCCAAATGCTAAAGTATCTTAGGATCTTACTATGGGATTCCTTTCCTCCCCTGCCACCCCTCCCTGTCTCTTCCTACCTCATCTGTGAAGAATCTTTTCATGTATACACTGCTGCAGTGCTGTCTCCTGAATGGATGGATCTCCATCTCAGAGCTTCCCCCGTAGAGCTCCACATTGTTATATCCAACTATCAACTTGACATCTCCACCAGAGAATCTCACAGGAACCTTAAATTTAGCACATCTAAAAGAAAATTCTTAATTCCCTGCTGTACCCAATGCCAGCTGGCTCAGATTCTCCTTCTGTGTCCCCAGTGTAAGAAATGGCATTATCATCCACCTAGGTCCTTACGCCAGAACTCCTGACTCATCTTCAATTCCTCCCTTTCCCTTATCTCCTTATCTAATTCATTGGCAAGTTCTATCAGGCTCACCTCCAACATCTACCTCAAATTGGCTCATTTCTCACTATGATCACTGCTTTCTTATAGTTGAAGTTGCCACTGCCTCCTGCTCGTTTGGTGCAAATACATGGAACTTGTCCCTGTGTTTTGTCTCTTTCCCCTGTACTCTGTCCCCCACAATTCATTCTTTATGCATCAGTGAAAAGAAACTTACAAAAGCACAAATCAGGTCAGAACCCTCCTCTGCTTCAGTGCTGCCCTTTGATTTCTCATCCAATGTAGGATAAAGTTCAGTGCTTCTGGTGGCCTGCAAGGACTTCCTCCCTGGTGTGGTCTCTGCTCATTCCCTACCTCGTGAAGTTATGGTCACTTCTCCCTCAATAAACTGTGGCTCAAAGGTGTCACTGCTGGTCCTTGGATGTGGAGAGCTCTTTTTCTCCCTGTGGCTTTGAAACCGTCTTCAACCTGGAAGTTTTTGCTTGTTCTGGATCTTTTTACAAGATAGTCCCCTTTCGTCCTGCAGAGACACCTTTTCTGACCACCCTCATGGCCCTGCTAACCACTTCACCCTGCTTTCCTCTTTAGCCCTGTTCCCAACTCCAAATGCAGTGCTTGTATGTTGTCTGTCTCCTGGGATTATTCTGTCTTGCTCATCCCTACATTTTCAGCACCCAGCAAAGTCCCTGGGTGTGACTCAGTATGTTACACATTAAGTAGAAGTGAAAAAATCTGGTGAATTATCCCAGGGTGAAGGAGAAGGGAGAATTTCATGAAGGATGAGACTGAAAAGGGGGAAGAATGTAAATACCTGCTTCAGCAAGAGGTGACAGAGAGCGAAGCAGAAGCCTGGGTCGGGAGTGGGTAAAGTGCTGATTTTGTGGCAAGGATGAGATGTGTTGGAGGCTTTTGGCTATGAGCCCATAGCTTGGCAAAGAAGTAAGGATAGAGCTAGGTGTGGGGGTGGAGTCTAAACTGTAATTATAGCACTCAGGGAGGCTGAGGCAGGAGAATCCCAAGTTTGAGCCCAGTCTGGGCAACTTAGTGAAACCCTGAGTCAAAGTAGAAAGTGGGGGCTGGGGATGTAGCTCAGTGTGAAAACCTTGGATTTAATCCTCAGTCCCTCCCTCCCTCTTCCTCCTCCTTCCCTCTCTCTCTCTCTCTCTCTCTCTCTCTCTCTCTCTCTCGCAAACACATGCACATAGAGGTTAAGGATAGAAAGACACAGATTTGGAAAATACCTGTCTTGTTTTGCACTATTAAAACAGAATAGCATCGATTAGATAAGTTATAATGAACAGAGATAGATTGGCTCAGTCTTCTGGAGCCTTCAAAGTCTGGTATCAAGAACCTGGCAGCTTTGGTGATTTGGACCCCCAGATAATGGCTTGAACGCCAGGCTCTTCAAGGGAGGAAGGTTTCCTCTTCACAGTGCTCAAAGTGGAAGGGTGAAGAGAGGAAAGGGGCTCGCTCACCCCTTTACTGCAGCATCAATCGCACCCATGAGGGCAGAGGATGCATCATCTCAACATCTCGTAAAGGTCGGAGGTCTCCCCCGTGATGCTATGATGACAACTGAATTTCTACATCAGTTTAGCAGGGGGCAGCTGTTCAAACTATAGGCAAAAGGATAAAAACATGACTGGTGGGTGAGTCAAGTGAGGGTGGAGGAGAGAGAAGGACTAAGTCCTTAGAACAGGGGAAGAGGCCACGAAGGAACCTGAGAGGCAGGAGGAGAATTAGGAGGACAGATTATTTCTGAAGTTCAGGAACTGTGAGATTTTTGAGAAAAAGTGGAAGTAAGTCTTCAGTTCAGTCCTACAAATATTTCTTGTATGGTCCCTCTGTGTTAAGCCCCATAGTTTACATGGGGCTCCCAATATTAATAAGCTCTCACCTTTTGGGGGGATGTGTATGTTACAGTTTGTTAGGGGAAATAGATGTATAATAATGTTTATATAAATAACTATATGCTCACACACGACAGCACTATATAAGTTTTAAAAAATACACTCATATACAGATATATGTCAAATATTTTAGAACAGTTTTCTGTGGAGTGGAATAGGGTAGAGAATGTGAACGAAAAGGAATTGATACATAAATAAAACAAGACAGCAATCTCAACTAAGCCAGGATACTTTAGAGCCATGAATGGCTCTAAAGATTTAACTATCAGCCCAGCTTGGTAGATCCCTGTAGTTTTTCTCTTTAATGTAAAAAGCTTTTAATTATTTATTTTTTAGTATGACGTGCTAGATCTGTATTATATTCTAATGGAAGAATAAATACAAGGAAAACAAACATCACTTGAGATCCTATTGCCCAGAAATAGCCTCTGCTAATATTTTTGTGCTCCTTTGCACCTTTTTGGTGCTCTTAGTTATTTAAAAATTCCTAATAGTTTCTTTTCAAATCACCTAGGCACAGAGCCTCTTTTTCTAAGATCTGCTCATATCGCTTTTAAGTTATACCTGTGAACCCAGCAGACTTTGCTTGGGGACAAAGAAGAGTATATTTTCATTTTCCAACAGCCTGAAGCTCACACAAAGGGGTGGGTGAAATGAGGTTATGAAGCCCTTGTGTCTTTTTGTTCCTGTTAACTTGTGTAGAAGTCCAAGGGCCTTTTGGAGGAAGTTGACCACCACTTTCACTCCACCACCAAGGTTATCAGCATGTGTTTTGAGACTAATGGAAACCCTGGTAGTAGAGAAAGAAAAGAAAGGAAGGTG